AAAGTGTCTGAAATGTCCACAGGGGTTATGAGCGTTCCAAAACATCTGTAAAAAAATATTATGGTGGTTAATTGTCAGGGTTGCAGCGTGTCCTGGGTGGTGGCAGTGTATCCACGATGTGGAGGCAACACACACTGATGTAGGACTGACCATGTTGGCGTTGTACACGGACAGCCACTCCATCAGCATTTGGCATAAAGGTGAGATCTTCTGATATCACTGTGTTGGAGAATTGCTGGATGGGGCCCAGGCCGCCTATGATTGGGCTTCTGTGGGCAGGTAATAAAAGTGCAGTCGTTGTTCACACTGAATAATGACTGGTTTAACAGATTATGGAGGTAATGGGATCTTAATCTAGCATGAAGGGGGCCTATCATATGCAATATTGAGTCAGAGTGTTGGAGGTGCGTTAACTAATCTAGTCAGATGATGTTATGTGGGCAACAGTGGCACAGGTGTCAAGTGCCCACCCTGTGATCGGAGGGTTGCAGGTTCAAGCCCCGCTCAGTCTGTCGCTGTCATTTTGTCTATGAGCAAGACATTTAACCCACCTTGCCTGCTGGTGGTGGTCAGAGGGACCAGTGGTGCCAGTGCTCAGCAGCCTCACCTCTGTCAGTGTGCCCCAGGGCAGCTGTAGCTACAATGTAGCTCATCACCACCACAGTCCTAATGTGTGTGTGGATGTGTGAATGACTGATTGTGTTGTAAAGCATCTTGGGGGGTTCTAGGACTCTAGAAGGCGCTATATCAAATACAGACCATTTATCATATTATTTGATCACAGCCTTTGGTCTTTTGATGAGTGATGTGAAATTCACAATCTGGTCATTCATGATTTTAAAAGGTCCTCCATATTTTTAATACATTTGCAGTGGTCTTTAGTAGGAATGAATGCCTTGGTAGTCGTACTTGGGGGAGAAAAAAAGGCTCCAATTAGTCTGTTTCAGCACAAAGAATTCAGCGGGGGAAGGAAGTAGCTTCATACGACAGGATTGGGAGTCCCATTTCCTGATATTTGGACATCTTGCCTCTGATTGGCTAACAGCAACACAACTCTACCACTGATTCTGTTTACTTTGCAATGCTGGTGTTTTATCTCCATAACACAAACTTGAAGGAGTTCTGCTTTGTGGTGGAGTTGCTAATGCTAATGCTAAACCAACAACAGCCTTCCCTATCGTGAGCCAGTATGAGTGAGTCCAAGCGGCAGCTTGACGTAGATCTGTTGGGCTTTTCAAATCCTAATGTTTTCCATCTATTTTCTAACAGAAGCTAATGCAGGAAATAGATGAAGGCATCATTTTCAGAAATAACAAGTAAAAAATGGTTTTTCGGTGAAAGAATAAAATAAAATAAAAAATGGCCATGAACACTATAGATCATATGGCTAAAGCATTTTCTTTTTTTAAAGGGGCCTTATGGAAGTTTGACAGCCAAAACATGTATAGAAATAATAAATTTCTTCTTCATACATTCTCCTGCAGTGCCCTGGTCCTGTAGAATGAGCCCTGGCATTTTTACTGTGATTGCCTGTTTTTCTGTAAAATCACAGAAAAAGAGAGTTGCTCGGGTCGAGCAGGCTGCTTCATGCGTGTTCACGCTCAGGCATAGCTCTCCAAACCGTTCTTTGAACGTTGTTTCAGCTGTCATCAAGGATATAAATGTTACAGATACACAGGATGTCGCTGGCACTTTAGCTCACCTAGTAAGACGTCGGACTTCCGTGCAGAGGATCTGGGTTTTGATTCTGGGTGTGAACATAGTTTATTTAGAGTTTCATTTTTACATTAATGGTATATTTTTTTACAGTAAGATGCCCAAATTTATATTTGAGACTCGCCGAACGGCTTTGAATTCACAGATAAAAAAGATGTGGGTTCAACTTTCATTTTGGAACAATTTTTCAAGCAAGGGAAGGGAATGATCTGAGCATGCAGAAGGACTGACCCATCATAAACCTTTGTCGGCTGTGCTGAAGAGAAAAGTACAGAACCAAATTATTTAATTAATTAGCTGAGCGTTCTCCTGTCCTCTGTCCTCCGGGCAACACACACACACACAAGGGACTGTCTCAGCTGTTATTTTCGTTAAGGGGTGTGCACGTACAGCATGCGCGCCTCGTGCACGAGCCTCCTATTGAAGCTGCCGTTACGCTTTTGGCCTGAGGGGGCAATCGCGAGCATAAAAATTCAAAACTCCGTAAAGTCCCTTTAATGGTCCATCATGATTATTTGGATGAACTTTAAACTGCTTTTTTACTGTCATGCAAGCTACGGAAAAAGTACAACCACATTATTTCCACACAGACACAGCATTAGCTGCCTTGTGCTACTGTGCTACTGATGCTAATGTTTCGCCACAGCAGTCATTCAACAAGAGCTTCTGTGTAAATCACCAAGTCACAGAAAAGTCGTGTAAACAGAAGCAAGCTAGAGATAATAACCAAGTAGAATCATTTTAGCTTTTACTTGATTTCCTACATGAATGCATGCTATCATCAGGCTTGCTTACATTTAAATTGATCTGGGTGGAAACATGCCTTAACATGCTCTGTTGTTGGTCCTGACAGATTAAACGTGACAATATTACAATCTCTCTGGTATGATCGACCACTAGAACATGTTAATCCTTCACGCGCCAATATTGTCGTGTGTCCCACCCCTATTTTGTTGATAGGGATCCCATGGAAAATGTCATTTATAAGGGAGAGCTGGTCAAAATGGCAGCCATGCAAAATTGAAAACACATAAATAATACACAAAGAATAAAATCATTATTTCTTATGTGATTGATATTGACAGTGATTGAAATACCAGGTAGGAAATTAGTACAAATGATCAAAGATTGTCTGCTTTGAGCATTATAACATATGTTTTTATTACAAAAACACACAAATTCTAAAATACATAAGGATAATATTTGTGTGGTCTGCAGCAATGCAGTTTAGTTGGTCTTGTGTGAGCAGAAGGTTTGTATTAGCCTAGAGAAACAAAGGGCCTCTGCTGGGTCTGCAGGTCAGGTCTGAGTCAACAGGGCACCGACGGGATCACAGCCTCTCCCAGCCAGCTAATTCAGCACACATGAAAGCATCTGCATTTGAAACGACTGCTTTACATGAAACAACTGCTTCATATCAATTTTTCTTTATTTGTCACTCTGTTTGCTTATGTGAGAGCTTCTTTGAGCATCAGCAGTCAGCTCCATGTTTTTATGGTGTGCACATTAGCCTGTTTCATTCTAGATTAGCCTTTTGCTGCAGGAGAAGCTGGGTTGAGTGAACCTCGTGATGTGTTCCAACCAAATGTGGGCCTGCGTTTTCGCCTTTGTTTCCATGTGCCTGCTCTTCCATGAGTGCACCTGAGCTTTGAAGCCGTCTGTTGTCCAGAAGAGCCGCGCGCATGTGTGTGTGTGTGTGTGTGTGTGTGTGTGTGTGTGTGTGTGTGTGTGTGTGTGTGTGTGTGTGTGTGTGTGTGTGTGTGTACAAGAAAGAGAGAGGGAGAGAGAAATGAGAGCACAGATGTAAGCGTAGAAAACAAAGCTAGCTTTGATCACCCTGGAGTGTCACAGATGTCTTGTTCCTGTCTGCAAGAACATCTAAGGTAGCATCACAGGTGTGGATGAGAGCAAGAACTGACCTGCAGAGGAAAGAAGTCTGTCTTTTGTCAGTTTAAATTGCATTTTTTTAAAGACGGGATTAGGAACTTTATTCGTCTGCAAATTATACATATATGGTTAGTGTTAACCATGTTAAACATCCTGCTGTCAGCGCTGATGGATCCAGAAAGACGTCTAAGGACATTCAGAAGGAGTGACCGACTTGCATCAATACTTGTATGTATTATTCATGCATTGTGTCGTGTGTCTCCGGTGCTAAGGTTGTGGCTAAAATCATTCACATTTCAAAACATTTTGTGTTTCCCTGACTGAAATATGGGGTCTTAAGCATCCATCTTAAATCTCCCTTTGGCTTGAACCAACTTTTGGAGGTCTTCCTTGGTATGTCTGCTCCTCCTGGATTGTAGGATTACGTCTGGTGGGAATTAACTAGACCACCTACACTGTCACCAATCCCTCCTCCACTGTTGAGTGGGAAAAACACAGAGGAAGTAATCATCAGGGGGAGCTAGATTTGTGGAATGCGATTGCTCAGTTTGTTTGGGAAAACGCAGGGTGTGTCTTAGTTTATGTGCTCTGTTAAATTTGTGACTGCCCACGCTGGAAACTTGTAAGTCACAAAGCTTCATGTGTTTCTCTTGATGTCCACTTTAGTGTCTCACAAACAAGTCCATGCTGTCCATGCAAGAAAACAGGTGGATTGTGAAACAATACAAGCTGAGATTGCTGCATCCTGTGGGTGGGCTCTGGTTTAGGAAGTCAAGAACTTCACTGAATGGCTTTTGTGGTTTCCTGTGAGGTGACAAATCAGCCACAAACACTAGTTTTTTTTCTGTACTTTGAGAAGAATTTAAAAGTGGAAATTCTGCTTATTTCATTTTTATTGTGATCAGTAAGCATAATCTCGATTATTTCTTATGCAAATCACTTTTCTTTTCTTTTTTAGAAAATGTTCTCACGTCATTTGAGTCGATTTTACGGCGATTCTACAGAAACCGTGTTGAAACGCAGCTACTTCGATTTTTTACACTTAAATTTAGGATTTCACAGCTGCTGTAGTAATATACTATTCGCCATCATCTCAGCCGGAAAGTGAGCATTCAGCATCAGCAGGGACAGCGGTGTCGCTTCTCCTTATCGTATCCCAGCTTGTTTATTCTATGAGATTACGGAGGGGGGGGGGGGGGGGACTGAATGATTTTAAATTTAAAAAAATGTAAACACGATAATACAATGAATGTAAAACAATGTATTAGTTATAGTATATAACAATGTTGATAAAAAAATTTGAGGTTGGGATAAACCATTAAGGTACTGGGTGTTTTCTTTGGTAGAACCCCCTTCTGTCAGAATGATGGTACGCTCCACCCATACGCGACACGGCCGTTGCTCACAGAGCCAAGAGAGCTGGGGGGAGCTTACTCGGGCTATCATAGCCATTGCTGCATACTGTCCCAGTGATGCCTTCTCTCCCCAACTTTTCATCCAGAGGTTAGAGACAGAACAGCACGCCCAAGAGGTCCTTTTTTCTTCCGTTTTTTTTAAGTTTCCCATCCTGACTTTCTTCCATGACTCCATACGTGTTCGGACTACCGTTAGCGTTTCGGGCGGCGAAGATAAGATAATGAACTTTGGACTTTCCACACGGCTTTTCGTGGCACGTTTCCCGTCGTCCTGGATAGAATAAAATAACAACGTAGCCCGGCGTGGCGGCAGCTGGGCGAAAATTCAACTGGAAGGGAAAATAGCGCACTCGTCCAAGTGAAAATCCAGAGACGGGAACAACTTTAACCCTGATACTATTACAGCGGAGTAACAGAGGAAAATGTCCTCCAAAGCTTCAAATAAGGTGGGTACCTGCCTGGCCGGATACAACCCAACTCTGAACGTTGTGCTGCTGGCTTATGTAATGAAATGTGCTCGAAAGGCCTAGCAATAGCTGAAACAAGGGATGAATCATGAAATAAAACGTAACCAGATAACTTTAGATACTCTGGTTAGTTGTAATATTGATGTCGTTGTGGGTCCTGGCGTTATTCGTTTATTTCGGCTACAACAAGCAGTAATTTCGGTGGACATAATTAAAATGACAGAAATTTTTCTTGTTTCAACTATTTATGAGTTGTCAATAAGTCATTGAACTATTGTATTAGCAGGTACCTGTTGATACACGGAGTTCTGCTTTTATGAAACTGGTGCACAGAAAAAAATATGTATATTTTAATATTGTGTATATATATATATATATATATATATATATATATATATATATATATATATATATATATATATATATATATATATATATATATATAATTTGTACGTTATCTTTTATGTCAAATCCACCAGTTTAGTAGCCTGGCAAGCCAGACTAAATAAATGTAAATTATTAAACTAAATAAATGTATTATTCAAACTTTGCAAAGCAAGAATTTGGTCTAGTTCACTAGGCTACCAGTTTAGTGTTACAGTACCCTGCATTTCTGTATCCACATACAGTGACAATAAAGGCTTTCTGATTTAGGAGGAAAACACGGATTTCAAAGCTTTTGGCCCCTGATGAATACACACCGCGGTCAGATAAACTTTTTACACCCAGTACGTTTGTTTAAGTTTCTCATTATTACCTATTTTGAGAGCATGTTGAATCCTAGACTTCCGTAATCATCCCCTGAGGTTATGAAGACATTAACAAGAAAATATCACTTTAAAAAAAGCTGACACTACTGAACATAAAACAGTTTGGAGCATCCCTCCCATCCACACGTTAAGGTTTGAAACAGCTGGGTTATCTTTGAAGACTTGCATATTTCCTAGACTTAATGAAAAGATTTCACACCATAACTCCTTCAGAAAGCATCTGCAGAAGGCCAAAACGAGGTCAGTTCAGGTACCAAGAAGTTTTATCGAACTAAGACATCTACATTCCCCATTCCTGCTTTATATTTTTTAAACACTTAAAATAAAGTTGGTCAGCTCTTCTAGAGATCTAGTGAAAGATCTAATTCTCACAAACAGCACTCGGTAGTGTTATTTATTTTTTTATTAGATCTGCTTTTCTTTTTCACATCGACAAGGAAGCTAGGAATGTGCCATGTTTGTCCAACAGGTAGTGATATTCAGGTTTGGGCGGTTGTTCCAGTTAGACGAAACCATCATATCAACTGATGACGTTACTAGTACTGTACATGAAGGCCATGGTCACACCTCGATATAAAACTTGTGGCTCATAACAAGCTTATAGTGGTTCTCATATAAGTGTTTTCTTTTGTTTAATTTAAGTATATTAAATGTTGTATCAAAATGTATGTGTTTGTTGTCTGTAGCACCTTTTGTTCTTTTCTTCCTGTTTAAAGCGATATGATACCTGGATGACATCGCTGTCTGTAGTTCCTCGGTAGCAGTGGTTAGAAATTTACATAGCATGCTCTGCTGCACGATGACGAGCTCTGAACCCAAGAAGACAAACCCATTTAGTCTTGTAGTTAATTTGAATGAATGCTAACCTCAAGGTATGCTCTCCCTAGATGTCTTTACCGTGGCATGTAAGTAGCCAGCTGATGTAGGCTGATTTTTGATGGGAAATGGTGACAGTTGAGGCCAGAGGATGTTTGTGTACTCCTTTGCATGAAAGAAGAAGCTAAAAATATAATTTCCCAAGATAGCTTTATAGCCTAATTTTAAATTTGGGTGACATGTTTATTTTCAGATAGCATTTTACTTTATTGTTTTTAGTTGTGGACACTGAGCGTTATTGTCGAAAGGACTTTTGTAATATTTTGTTGCCTATTTGTCTAGTTAAACTACCTTAAAGTGGTTCTGTTTATTTCTTTCTTCAGTGGAGAGGTTATGAAGAGATAATATCTTGCCTGTTTTAGATCGTGGCTCTTTGAACAGCCATAGTTTAAAGAAACTGAGATTTTTATCAGAGATGTGAGTTTTTGTTAGGGATGTACCAAAAAATGGCCGAAAATGACCCAACAGTGCATTTTTAGTTTTGGGCCAAAACATCTAAATCACAGAAACATCACGGCTGAAATAGGCCATCGTGTAAACCCTGTGTTTGTTTCATCTTGCTCCAGCCTCCTGTGACAACTTGCTCATTGCTTCATAAAAATAGTACATTTGTACTAATTTCAAGAGTAAAGTTTTTCCCTTTTATTAATGCTGTTTTATTACGATCATTTCATTCGGGACTAGTTTGTTTTGAGTTTAACGAGAAAGAAGTGAAACGGCTCTCACAGGATTGTTTTAGACCAATATGTTGCACGCATTTAATAAACAAATCCAAAATGGCGTTGTCCTCTGAGTCCGAAAAGATGCAATTCCATCCCTAGTTTTGTCATTTCAAAACAAACCCAATCTGAAATATTTTACAGTAGTTTGTGCAAACATTTTGGCACTACAATGAAGTTTATATTACGTTGTTATTTACATAGAATTCTGTGGCTTTTTGCATCAGCTAGCTAGCTGGAGCTAGCTGCCCTCGTAATCCTGTTGGAATAGCATATTATATCTAGGGCTGTATTTAGTAATAAAACTTACAATTATAAAATTTTCTCAAAAACATTATTGACACATAAATTATTGAAATGATTTTGTAACAGTTAGTTATCCAAGACTGCTTATTTTTTTACCATGACTTCTTAGTGACAAACAGTTGCTGCCCAGGGCTCAAATATTTCCAGGATCTGTTCAATGCTGATGCAGTAAACACAGAAAGTCAAGATATTTTTCAATAACTAAATGTGATCTAGCAAATCTGTGATTTTTTTTGTTTTGCCAGATTACTGTGTTGCATCTGCACAGCACAGCTAGAGAATAAAGATGTAAACAAAACAGGAGAAACTGAAATGTCCTCAGTATCACCAACATTAAGCCAAACAGGGCACAATTATATTTTTCTTATGTCTGAAACGTTACCCTACTCAGCCTCTTGTTTGAAATACCAGCAATACCTTTGATTTGTTGAGTTACTGGCAGATTTTCATCTTTAACAAAAATAATTTATGTTCTGTTGAGCTGAAACATGTTTGTTGTATTTTTCTTAAAATCGACCAATATTCTTAAAAATTTCTAGAATTTTTTTTTTATTGACACATTTTAATATGATAAGGCACTTTTGAAATGTGTTTCTCAAAGCAATGAATAACGGAGTTATTGGGGCAGATTGATGAGTGTTCAGTTATTTTCTGACAATGAAAGATGAAATTCGTTCTATTACCTGTGTGTTGTTATGTCTGTGGTTTAGCAGCCATTATCTACATGCCGTCTCCCATCTGATGAGACTTAATGGGCATCCATGACATCTGTATTGGTTATGCTTCACATAAATCTAAGGTTGATGATGAGCGGTAACAGAATGATGATGTGCAGTCTTACAGTTATGGGAGTAGTATTTGTGGGTGTGTCTCAGAGCTCAACTATTTTTGTTGCATAATACTACTAGTGTTTCATTAGCTCAGTGTCATGCAGTATAATTCACTGTTCACTGTTGGGTATGGTTTTCCTTGTTGCCAAAATCTATTGAAAACGTCAAGAATCAATTTTGTTTCCAGACTTTTGGATTACTCTGATTTTAAAAAAGGAAGATCTCCAGTAAAATGCCCAGTATTGTAATGGTTAACATTGTGAAGATGTTTCGAAACTTTGATGTCAAGATAATTTGTAAAGGATTTAGAATGCATGGGCTTTTAAAAAGAGTAATTATTAATTTAACATCATTTAAAAATGAATTACTATAGTACTTCTTTTTAATCTTTTACTTCTTTGCATTTGCATTGATTAGCATTTTGTGTCTATTAGCATTTTTAATTTAAAGGAGACATATCATGTTATTTTAAATCTTTAAGAGCAAAGGTAGGCATAATATATGATAAAATATTACTGTTGGCACTATTTATATGTCATTCATCTTAGATTGGATTTATTTTTGACAGCCTGAATTTATACCCAGAAATGAAATGTTTCGTTTCATGCCCACCCCTGCTCTGACAAAATGCACCAACAAGAGCATCTTTGGCCAGCCTGCCGTTGTATTGGCCTTGGTAATCCAGTAGTTACAGTCACTGCTTTGGTACTCCAACCACTGGACTACTGAGTCTGTTACTAAACAATAGTCGACTCGCCTAACACACACATCCTATGTTGGCCATTACGTGTGTCTTTGTAGACAGGATGATTGGTTTTTATGGTGGTGTTTGGTCCCTGATGCAGAAATGATTTGTCAAAATATCCAGGTTTCTGAAGCTAGACTACCAGCTTCAGGGAGAGGAGAAATTCCTGATGACACAAGTAGTTTTCATTCAGGCATTTTCAGAATTGTCAAGTAAAACTCTAAATTTGCATCTGATACAGGAAAATGCATGAATGCAGCCAAAAAAAAAAAAAGGGTTGGCGGTTGTTTTATCAAGAAATAACATATCACACATAGAGGTAAAACGCTCTAAAAAGTGGATTTTCCATTAAATGGCTCCTTCAAATATTTAATTACAGTAGTCTGCATTTATTTTCATTTACTACAGTAAATTATGTTATTGTTTTCTAGTAACTTACTGCGCTTTACTGAGTTTAAAGTGCTTTGGGGCCATCTACTCTGAAAGGCACTATGCAAGTGAGGGTCATTTATCATCATCACTTATAATTTGTATCTACATTTATGAGTTTGATCATAAAAATACATGTCAGTGATCCCTCCAGCCTTTAGACTGGTGTGTCTATTGAAGTGAGTGCAAGGTGCATTTACATGGAGAAGGCTATATTAATTAGAATAGCACAGCGGGCCAAGAACAGCCTCTATTTTGCTTTGATGATTACACATCTCAATTTACATCACTGAAGGAGGAAAAG